GTAAAAAAATTGCCGGTTTTGCTATTTACCTTGTTTTCTTAAAATTCAAATATATATGTTTCCATTTTTGACTAAGCGATCCAAAATCTGTTAGAAATGGCTACCAGCCTTATCGCGGAGGCAGGGTTATATAAAATTGGACCGATTTCGCTTATTTTTATTTTAAACGAATATATTTTTTCTAAAGAAGGCCGTAACGGGGATTTTCCTCATAAAATGTTCGTTAGGAATGACTTAAATTTAAGTGTGAAGTTTTATTCGCAAACTTAGAAAATAACAAATTGTTTCACTGTTTGCTTAAAAGCTTAAACAGACGGCAGCGTTGATCCGGACTAACTCAGACTTAATCCTGTGAGTCCGACTTTCTTCAACATACTTTTCAATTTCTTTGCCGTACGCACTGTCGCGTTTCCTATATCCTAGTACGTTTCAAACCATTGGAATTATCTAAATAAATTAAGTAAACAAGTATATACTTACATTTTTCATTTTAAAATCGCTAAAGTGCCACTAAGCGCATTTTAAAGGCAATAGCCTCATGCGATTATCGACTACATTTTTTGTTGTTTGTGTGAAATATTTTATTTTTATCAGTATTTTTCTTTTAATCAAAATATGTTGAAATAAATTTGAAATTTAAAGAGCAAATTTTCTTAGTCTTAAAAAGTTTTAAACTATAGGTTTTGTTAGAAAATTAACTCCTTTTTAACTGAAAATGCTTAAAAATAAATATATAAACATAAGTGGCAAACAATATCATTTTGAATTTGGAATTTATTCGGAAAAAAATGCAGTAAACTTCTTTCAAAACTAATTAAAAAAAAAAAAAAAACACAACAACATGCACTTGAGACCAGTTTATTTTTCGAGTTTCCCATTTCATCTTAGCAACTGAAATGTGCAAAATTAAGAAAGTGAATCTGAGCCATTGTTTCGCGTTTTGTTGTTAAACCGGCTAAATATTAACTTTTGTATAAAAGAATCGGAGAGCAAACCGGTCGTTTTAAAATAAGTACTAAATTATTCTACCTAAGCTAGGCTTTTAAATACACATAAATACAACAATTATTAATAAAAAACAACAAAATATACAGGTTTTACACCATAGATATATGTATGTGCGTGTGTTGTATTGAGTAAGGCAAACAAGTAAATGAAAGTGTTTCTATTTCTTTAGTTCATGAATAATTCAAAACAAAAACTGACGAAATTGAGCTTAAAAGAATTGAAGAACTTTTTATTAGCTAAACCAATGTCAAAAACTTGATAGCAATTAAGCTGGTAATAAATGCTCTAGACGCAACAGCAAACATATTCTGAACAATAGAATTCTTAATATTCAAATATGTATATATGTATGTTAGGGCGGGTCAAATCGTTTTGTATATGCGTGTATATCATAAGAGGATTCTACATGTAATTCTAAGCAAATTTATCAAAGCAACCATGGGTCTTAAATCAATTTGGAGTTTGTGAAAATTGCGGTTTTCGATGAAACCGTGAAAATTTTCACTTTTGTGCCCTCTGGTGGAAGTTTTAACAAAAAAAAAAAACTATTAGCGCAGAAATAGATTCCTCATATCAAAAAACCACTTATAAAACTTTTTATACAAAATTTAGGCACTTATTTACGACACCTAAACGAAATGCTAAGAAACCTATTTTCGCAATTTGGCAAACTGCAAATTGATTTTATACCCATGGTTTGTTCGTAAAATTTGCTTAGAATTACATGTAGAATCCATTTGCGCTATACGCGCATAGTCGAAAAAATCTCCCATACAAATTGACCCGCCCTAATGCATGATATCAAAAAAAATAAAATAAAAATTATTAGCTAAAGTGGTTGTGAGAAGAACTCGTCTTCTAATTAGCAACATGCTTACTCAAGTTTGAACTAGAAAATGGCTAAAAAAATAGTAGTAGTTGAATTTTAATGTTCAAAATTTCGTTAGATTGACTACATACGAGTGTTAACCAGCTAGGTGCACACACGATCATACAAACGTGCATAAAAGTGCCTAATCATAAGCAAAAAAAAAGTAAACTCAATCGTAGGACTTGCATTAGATAAGTACTTTCATTTATTTAACCAACAGGCAAGGCAGTCCACTTTCGATATATACTCGTCGTCATATGAATAGCGCACCCTTTAAATCTATAGTATTTACACTTTTTCCTTTTACAATTTTAAACAAATTAAAAGAAAAAAACTTCAACAAACGAGTGCGATATCCTAATTACCCGCAGTGCATGAGTTGTAAAGATTTTTAGAAAAATTTCGGGTATGCAGTTTTGTAGTTCATGCAATTTTACTGCATCAAAGTGCAGGTTTGAGGTGGCTACAACATACCATTAATTTTTGACATTTGTTTTTTGTTGACGGTGCTGCGTATTTTCTTGTTTTTAATATCATCAAATTTTAAATCACCCTGTACTGATAAAAAGTTTTTAACTTCAACAAATAAAATATTATCGTACATCTACCGGCTAAAGGGTTTATTTTGACCTGCCATAATTAAGAAATACTTCCGAGTTAACTTCTACAAAACTCAATTTGAGTTCGAAGCGAAAGTGGCTGAAATCCACTCTCAAATGAATTGCAGAACCTGCCTGATAGTCTTATCAAACTCATTTCGATTGATATCCATCTTTTTATAATTCATTTAACTTTTTTAATAATTTAAATTTTTTAGCAGGAGGCAGCGGTCTTCAAATACCTAAAAAATATTTCTAATGTTCAAAGTAACGCTTTCATAACACTCGTTTGACACCAATATTTTAATATTTCATATACCTTAACTAAATTCGACATTTTAAACAGGTGCCAACCATTTTGAAAATATTTGCAATCTCATAACCATAATTTAAGTTGAGTTGTATTTTTTAAACAGTTGGCAACCCTGCTAAATATGTTTCAGAAATAAAGGCTTCTGAAACTTAGGATGGGTATCACCTTTAATAATTCATCCAACTTATTAAAGAATTTGAATGCCACTTAGTAATGACGTGGCAAACCTCTTAAAACATTCCAAATCTTTAAACTAAAGTTTTCTTAACACTCCTTCGCTTAACACTACTAAATAATATGCGTAAAAGTTAATTAAATCCGACTTTATAAACAGGTGGCAACCCTCTTCAAAAGTGGCTTCGTGCTAAGATATTCTTAAATATCCTTCGTCTGACACTGCGGCACATATTTTAATTAACTGGTGAATTAAGTTGTATTTGGTTTTGTAAACATGTGGCAACCCCGCTATATATAGTTCAGAAATAAAGATTTTTCTACCCCTTTCGATTGATACCCATATTTTTTTATAATTCATTTAACTTAGTAAATAATTTGAATTTTATTCTTTTAACAGGTGGCAACCCTCTTCCAACATCTCAAAAATATTTTTAGTGTTCAAACCAAAGATTTCTTAACACTCATTCGCTTGACATCCATATTGAGATATTTCATATAACTTGTGCATAAGTTGACTAAATTCGACATTTCAAGCAGATGGCAACCTTATTCAAAATATTTTCAAACTACTACCTGCTGAAGCCCCTTTTGTTTGGAGCCCATATCGTGATACATACTTCTCTTACCCAATTCACTTAATTCAAATTGAAGTTGATTTTTAAACAGGTGGCAACCATCCTATAGGTAGGTAAAGAAACAAAGCTTTTCAAAACCATTTCGATTGATACCCGATTTTTAATAATTGATTAATTTTTTGGAATAATTTGAATATAATTTTTTAAAGAGTGGCAGCTCTTTTAAAAAAAGTAAAACCTTATTACACATCTGCAGTCCAGGATATGAGGGCATTGATTATTAAATAATTGGAGACGCAACAACATCGCAACTGAAATGGAAGAAGTCATGACTAATACTTTTATTTATTTTTATTTTTTCATAAAATGATATAGAGAATTGTAATTCGATGAAATCCATCATATAAATCAAAAAGTGAATTTCGAATTTTTTACTAGTTATGGCTATTTGCATTACAGCGATAATGTTTGTTACGTCTTTTTGCATTTCAGGGGACAATATTTGGATTCTTAAAAAATTCTGCAAGAAATTCTTCTTATAGCAGCATTATTTTCATTGCTTTACCGATTTTCTTCCGAAATTTGGTAAAGGAATCGAAGTGTGCACAGTTTATTTCATTTTAGGAAATTCGGCAAAAAATCGGATGAGGTCTTTACAAATTCCTTGAAATTTCTCTACAATTCAGTATACTCTGAAAAAATAGTTTACAGGGTGGTGGGACATCTCCTTGTGACTGGTGTAAAGTAATTATGCACGAAATAAAAGTTTCCATAGGCAAAAATTACAACTTCTTTTTATTTTTTTAATATTTTTTGACAGATTAATGAAATGAAGTCATTCAAACAGAGTTACTACTGTAAGAGATAATTAGGGCATATTTAAATGTATGTCGTTTTCCTCATTAGGATAGCGCACCTCTTTGTTGTAATATTTTTTTTTCTTAATTTGTATAAGACTTTAAAATCGGATTTACACGTAAAATATGCTATATTTTTATGAAAAAAAATTATGAATTTTAAATAAACGAAAGGAAAACTCTAAATACTATGGATTAAAAAGGTTGCGCTATTCAAATGACGCGGAGTGTATTCGTATCAAAGAAATTCTACACCACCTCTTTGCTTTATGCATTCAACTGCAAACCAGAAATTCTACATAACTAAAAAGTTTAATTGCGCTTGCGCTTTTATTTCTTTTGAACAGCACGTGTATGCACTTATGCGAATAGATATTTTTGGCAAATTTCGATTTATCAAAAGCCGCCAAATAAAGCTCACAAATTTAGAACAAGAAATAGAAAAGTACCTATTTCAAAGTGTTCAAAAAAACTGGAAACTATGTAAATATGTATTTGCTCATAATTAGGTGATGGCCCAGAAATACACAAAATCACAATGCACATTTCTACGCTGAGATGGAGTATAAAAAGGAGTGCAACATTTGCATTGACATCCATTCAAGTTTCTAACGACAACGGAAAACTAACACAAACATGAAAGCCGCCGTCATCATCTTCGCTTGCCTTTTGGCTGTTGTTGTCGCTCGCCCCAATCCCGAGGCTGAAATCGTCCGTTTGGACTCTGATGTCGGACCTGAGAGCTACACCTACAGCTTGGAGACCAGCGATGGCACCAAGAAGGACGAAGCTGGTCAATTGAAGGATGTCGGTACCGATCATGAAGCCATCGTTGTTCAGGGCAGCTTCTCGTGGAAGGACGAGAAGACTGGCGAAGTATACACTGTCACCTATACCGCTGACGAGAACGGTTTCCGACCACAAGGCGCTCACTTGCCCGTTGCGCCAGTTGCTTAAGTTAATTTGAATTGTGTAAATTTTTGGTTAAATTGTTAAATGAAATAAAATGTTTGTAGTTCGTTAGCCACTGATAAAGCGAAGCGTGAAGTAAGTGTTTTTTTTCTATACCAAAGCAAGGAAGAATATTGAAGAAGGAGAGTGGAGCACTTTTGAAAGAAGAAATTGGTGTGTAATATCTTTGACCATTTATTAAAATGGAAAATCGAGACCTATAAGCTTATTGAACTAGAAAGATGTTCGGCAAGTTTAAAGCCAATGAACAAATATACACAAAATTTAAGTATATAAATATCGATAACGAAAAAATTATCGATAACCATGAATAATCGGGGAACAGTTATGTCATTCTTAACGATAAAATCTACAAAATGTGTGCATATACATATCTATAACGTATTTGGAACAGTTTCGATAAATTTATCGCTTGCAAAATGTGAAAAAAAAATTCTAAATTCGATTGTATTAATGTTTATGTTGACAAATTTATCAATAACTACTGATGAAAAGTGCCATGGTAATTCATGAAAATGTGAAATCGATATCGATAAACTTATTGACGATAAAATTTAGAAAAATATGTGCACATCGTTATCTATAAAAATATGTGTAAATTTGCCGTTTAAAATAGCTGAAAAGCTTTAAGTTAAACTTACGAATACAAACCCATAAAGTACAAGATTATGTCATTATCGACAATCATTGATATACGTATAACCGACAACAATCGATAACACTATACATTTTGTGGTAACCGAAAACCTCAATACAAATAGAATGGTGCGAAGGTCGAAAAAATCGCGGAATGAAGAGTGAAATTCAGACTGAGCTCCGCGCAGACGACCGCCGCCCCTACGCCTTTCTCCATCTTCCACCCGTCACATTCAACGAGCCAGCACCCCTCACGTTAGCCTTCGACCTCCTCTATAGTAGCTTCGAAGTTCATTCCCCAATATGCGGGTCCAGGTTCATGGAGTCAATCTGTCTGAATAAAGTGGACGAAATATTGCTGTGTCCGTAGCACCTGCACAGAAACTGTCCCATATAAAGCCTGATGGCAGTCTTTGACATTATATGTCTGGCCGATAGGTTCGCCGGAAAGAGGTGAAACAAGGTGTAAAGTGCTGTCATTAGTGTAAGTGTCCTTGTCATTCAGATCATTGATATTATTTTAAGAAATATTTTCTTATCCATTGCTGTTCACCAAGCTAGTACTCCATGGAACAATATCGGCCTTACTATGGCGAAAAAGATACACTCAGAAAGAGAAGGCGAGCATAGTTTTGCATGCCTAAAATGCCCCGGAGGTCTTCTTAGCCCTCTTCTCTACAAGGCACTTGAGACTTTTTTCATCTGGAGAGTGACCCCATCCAGCTTAGGCTTAGACAGTTCCTATATTTCCTAGTGAAGAATACCAGATCTGTCTTTTCCGCATTGTTACTACTAATCCCCGTTTCAGTTACCCAAAGATGTATATTCCGTAGTGCTTAGCTCATAATTGAGCTGAGTGTGAACAGACACTTTCCGCTTACTATGACAGAAGTATCAGCTGCATATGCAATAAGTTTGGCAGATCCGACTTCCATTTTCTTCAGTATCCTGTTGACCAGCAGCGGCCATAGTACCCGACCATAGTACCCAGGTTCACATGTCTACTTGTACTGCAACACGTCTGCAGCACATCATACTACATATCCAGTTCGAAATAACGAGATACACCTCTGTCGTCGTCATTCCGTCTAAAATTACTTAGTTGTTGAAGTCCCAAGCTGTGTCCAAGATGACCCACAATACGAGTTTTCCCTTCTCCAAAGCCGCTTCAATTGTGTAGGGCGATATCTACCGATATTCCCTTCGTGTAGGCGTGTTTTGTCTTTGAGAGCCACGTTTTGCTTGTTGGATAGGACTATTAACCTCTCCAGGGTCTTTTGAAGGAACGATGTTAGGCTGATGGGCCTACAATCCTTGGGATATGCGTGTCCACTTCCACCCTTTCGCAGTCCTCCAATATATTGGAACCTAGGTCAGACTTAAACAGCCTTTAAATATGTTGCACAGCCAGTCCCTGTGACTTCTGGCCTGCCTTCTGCAGCATCACAGGTAAAATGCAGTCCAGACCCGGTGACTTATACTGCAAAAAGGAACTCAAACCCCACTGCAGTCTGGGTGGCGTCACCAGTTTTTCTACAAGCTCATTTCCTCCTGCGATCGATGATGCAGCGTCAAGTAGACTACCTGGATGCTTGACCGCATAGAACTGAGCTTACAGTAAATGAGGTAATAATATTACAGGAAAGAACAATTAGGGTATTCACAAGATGTCCTACGCATCGAGATATTTCAAAGTCGTAAAATTGTTCAATGTAAAATAACGGTTGAAACGGTTTGTAGGGTATAATAAGAGCTATTTACATATTTTTTATCGGCTTAACAATATTTTGGTGTAATTAAAAATCTTATAAAAGCATTTTAAGAGTTATTTTACCATGCAAAATTGTATGACTTGATGACATGACGACGCTGACGGCAGCTTGTAGGGTATTCACAAAATTTGTGTCCAAATTTTCTTTCGTTTTCTGCATTTGTCCGTACAGGCGGCTTTAGCAAAAAGAAAATGACTTTGGAAATTATTAAGAAATTTGCCTTGCCGTTTACTCAACATTCACCTCTATTTATAACACACTCAGCTGAAAATTAGAATATTTCCTCAGATTTTATCAGCTCAACCTAAAAAAGTACTGATTTCTACAAAACTAAAAACTACGTACGTACATATGTACAGTTTTATTTTACAAAAGCAAGAAATATTAAGTATGCCGGTTCATCTGGTTCATTAACATATAAATATCAAAAGCACAAAACGAATCAAGTTTTAGAATTAATAAATATCCATTTGATGGTTAAAATATTTTATGAATTCGGCAAACACAAATTGTCACAAAATTTAGTATAAAAGCACAAAAACAGCCTATCGATTACAACATACATTAGTCTGATTCCGTGGTCTTCACACACAGCACAGAAAAACAAACAAAAATTTCAAAATGAAATTCGTGATTGTCTTCGTCGCACTTTTCGCTTTGGCCTATGCTGCCCCAGCCGCGCCTGAAGTGGAGATCGTGGAATTGAAATCTGATGTAGAACCAGAGCAATACAGCTACTCGTAAGTTATCAATCTATCTAAAGCCATAGTCCTGGTCAAGCAGGACTTTTACTCTTTCAACAAGGATTACACATACATTCACATTTGAGCAATGATGCAGTCACTAAAAAACCACTTTCTCCTCTTCTCATTCCAGCCTGAAGACCAGCGATGGCACATCCAAACAAGAAGATGGTCACTTGGTGAACCCTGGTGCTGAGGATGAACACATTGTTGCTCAGGGTTCCTTCTCCTTTGTCGGTGATGATGGTCAGACCTACACCGTCAACTACATCGCCGATGAGAATGGTTTCCAACCTCAAGGCGCGCATTTGCCCGTCGCCCCAGTGGCTTAAGTTAATACTCATTATATTAGTGGGGTTTGGTGGAAGTGTTAATAGGTTATAAGGGAAAAACGATGTTTAATAAAAAAAATTCAAGATGTTTAATAAAAAAGAATCAAGAATGTCTATTTAATTGTTAAAAGGAGTGATTATTTTCTATTCTATGAAGTGAATAGTGAAGTTCTAAATATGAAGTGAAGTACTATCCAATATATTTCTCGCTTGAATTAAAAGACCATGTTAGAATTTTTCGAGACTGAGTAATCTCTACCAAATTTAAAAATATTCAGGCAAAATAATTGAGCCTTTCACTATAAGGATTTAAGCGTTTTCTCAATGTCATTATATCTACTACTATCCCGCCTGATGAATATTGAGCAACCGTCTTTCTCTATCCAGTGTTACAGCGTTGTGGAAAGAGGCGCTAGAAATCAGCGTACCGAGCGTTAACAAAGTAGACTACTCGCTAGCTAAAACTTTCAAATAACGATCGATATTCCGTAATCGTGGAGACTATTTTAAAAGATTCTAAACACTCCATTTATAGATGTCACGAAGCCTGCGGCGGTTAGGTCGAACCGTATTAAAATGTCGCATCATTGAAAACGCCATAGAGCCCTAGAGACCTTATCGGGCATCAACGAGTTAATGGCGTGTAAACGTCTATTGTGTGAATGCTGAGGATGCATCTCGAAAATGAATATACTGACAACACAACCTATGGTAACATACCATGGGTTTTGAGAGGACTGCCCTAGGGTGAAACTGTCCGGGACCCTTTTGTCTTTAATTCTGAAATGTATGGAATTTTTTTCGCATTTAATTTTTCTGAGATTCTCTCGCACTTCTCGTAATATTTTTGCTATTTTTCAGGAAACTTAATTTTTCTTGTTGTATTCGGAATAGAGATGGGCGCGGGATATCGGTATCTATGGTACTGATTTCATATTGGCCGGGATGGGTAGTATCGGAAAGGTCTGTAACAATTTTGCGGGCGGGAGTAAATTTTTTTAATGTATGTCTCATTAAATCAAGATATTCCCAAATACTTGGATCATCATTTATTTGACGCCGAAATCCAATAATGTGCTGCCATAAAGTAAAAGGAGGTAACGTATTTGACAGATGTGGCTCAAAGGCGCCGATAGAAGAGGCGGATAGATCCGTATTATCCCCGCTTATTGATCACGGTAGGAAAATTGATGAATAAACCTTGGCCGCGACGAATGACTTGTGAACAAACGGGAAGACCGTGAAAAAAATATTATGGCCGCAGCTTATTAGGAAAAAGGCAAGAGATATACTGAAACTCAATACCCGGCGTCATCACAGGACACTGTAATATAGTTATCACCAATGCTTCAACGATGGCGAATACCAAAAAGTACTCTCTGCAGAGGCTGCCATTAGGAGGATGAGGAAGAGTCAATTGACCCCTTTCTGTGTCTTTGCCCAGGTCTACAGACGAAGTGCCTCAAGCACTTGGGTTCACGTTTCTTCAACAGTCTGAGCGAGATAGCGGAAGTGGAACTGTCTGATCTCCTCGGCTTCATCGGGGATAGTATGTAATTAGTTCAGTATAATAATGACTTGAAACTAATCTTT